GCCGTTCCAGAACAGGCAGTTATGTGCTAAACTTAACTCTGAAACGGGCCGCTCTGGTTTAAAAATGGGCTGTTCTAGATACGAAATTAACCCATAATGAAGGGGTCTAGAACAGGTCGTTCCGAATTTGGAACGGGCCATTCTGGCCACTTTTGATGTCTATAAATAGCAGACTCATGCACTGTTCTCAGGGTTGAGAAGTTTCGTATAAGACTCATTTGAGCTCGAAAATTTTCTCTCTCTCCCCCTCCTATTGTATTTCTTGAGATTTGTGAGGTATATTGTAGTGTGAAAGGTTGCCACAAAGCATCTAAAGTTCTCCATATTTGAAGATTCAATAAAGCTCATTTAAGAGGTATTTCAGTTGATCCTATCCATAAGATCAAATTTCTTAAGAATATCATACATAAATACAACTAAGTCCGTAAATACAGAATCTTATTTTCAAATTAGGACGTTTAAAAGTTGCAATAAATCTGAAAGTTTTTGTTGTTCTGCCTTAATTTTCTGACATACTAAGCAAGGATACACAAATTCCTCCACTTCCTTCTTCATCTTAGGCCATCAAAACATCTTCTTAAGGTCTTGGTACATCTTAGTGGCTCCTGGATGGATACTAAGGATACTCATATGAGGGTCTCTATATGAAACTATACTAGAGGAAATCTCATGTAACCTTACTATCTCACTGATATACAACTTTGTCAATCTCTCCAAGGAATATCTAATGTTAAAAAATTAGCTTATGTCTCTAGGCAGTTGAAAATCCATGAGAGGAATTACTCTACCCATGATCTTAAGTTAACGATTGTAGTATTCACACTTAAGATTTGGAGACATTATTTGTATGGTTCTAAATTTGAAGTGTTTAGTGATCATAAAAGTCTTAAATATATTTTTGACCAGAAGGAGTTGAATATGAGACAGAGGAGATGAATAGAATTTCTTAAGGACTATATATGATTTTGATCTTAGTTGTCATTTGGGCAAAACAAATGTTGTAGCGGATGCCTTGAGTAGGAATACCTTTCACCTATCATCTTTAATGACTAAAGAGTTGGATTTGATTGAGGAGTTTAGAGACTTAAGCTTGGTATGTGAGCTTACTCCTAGGAGCAATAGATTGGGTATGTTGGAGGTGACTAGTAAATTGAGAGATGAGGTTAGAGGAGCCCAAGAGTTCGATCCTTTCTTAATGAACCAAGTGGAGAGGATTGGTAACGGTATAAATAGCCTTTTCTAAGTAGGAGTTGATGGTGTTTTGAGGTTCAAGAGTATTCACACTTAAGATTTGGAGACATTATTTGTATGGTTCTAAATTTGAAGTGTTTAGTGATCATAAAAGTCTTAAATATATTTTTGACCAGAAGGAGTTGAATATGAGACAGAGGAGATGAATAGAATTTCTTAAGGACTATATATGATTTTGATCTTAGTTGTCATTTGGGCAAAACAAATGTTGTAGCGGATGCCTTGAGTAGGAATACCTTTCACCTATCATCTTTAATGACTAAAGAGTTGGATTTCTATCTTTCCATAAAGATGGATCTCCTATAAAATGTTGGGCTATGGTAAAAATTAAGGTATTGACAGCATCTGGAATGGTCTCACCATTATTGAAGATTGGTTCACCATTGTCATCAATTTTAACAGCTGAAAAGATCCCTAATTTTTGTGCTTCGGTGAGATAATGATCCCACCAACCTTTAAGTTGCCCTGTAAATCCTGATACTATAATGTTTGCTATAGCTTCCTTAGAACTCTCATGGGTTGTTTGATAGGCAGTACAAACCATGGTCATATGTTGTAACATATGCATGATATTGTATTTAGATTTACCATCAATATTCCATTCATAAACATTGTTGGCATTAAAACTACTATTATTGAGGTCCTTATCTTCTATGGCCAAGTATAAGGTTGTGGAGGGATAAGGTTTTGTTAGACCTTTCCATTGGTTTCTGGAGGTGGTCATAATAGGATTAATCTGAATGGATTGAGGGTTACTAGAATCAGAATCATGATCTGATCCTTGGTTTAAAACACTTATAGTTCTTGTTGGCTTCCTTATTTTAGGTCTAGAAGAGGCTTCTTCAGTACCTTGGCTTTGTGAAAATTTTGTTTAGCCTTTTGACTAAGCTTAAAAGGCTGAAATAGAGGCTTTTCTAAATGTTTTGAACTTGGGGCTTGGTTAGCCACTGATTGGCTTGATTCAGATTTATGGGCAGCTAATTTGTCACCTGAAACCTGAAGATACTTGTTTGTAAAGTTAACTTGCTCCATAAGACTCTTAATGTCTTTAGGAGTCAAATTTTCATCCACATCCTTGGTTTTGAATGGTGCAGCAAGTACAGGGTTATTTTTGTCATCCCTAATTTAAGGGAGTTGATATTGGGTTTTGGGAGGAAGTTCAGATTGGACCTTCTCTCTGTCTTTGAGATGCCAAACAACATTTGTGGAATACTGTCCTATAAGGTCATCTCTTAGAAATTCATACTTAGGTAACTTGGCGTAACGCTGTCTTGAATATATCCTCACCCTTAACTCTAATATGATGATATCACATCCTAAGGTCAATCTCATTAAACACACAACCTTTATTAATTGATCTTATCCTCTTTTCTAGAACCAGCATCCGACCTCCTTTGGTGGGCTAAATCCTGAGTCACTCCCAGAGAATGACCGAGAGGATGTTAAAAAACTTGAAGACTTGAAAACTCTTTTCAACACCACAAAACTCCTAGATCTAGAAAATAGGCCCCAAGAGTTGAAAATATATATAGGTACTTGTGCTTGTTTGAATGTTGAAATTGTGTATTTTACTCTTGTCTTTGTCTTTTTATTAATTGTTGGGTGCTTTAGATTCATTGGACAGGTATTAATTTAATATTAATTTATGGGATCTTATGGAACCAAATGAGGGTAATGATACTAGATACTAGTACACCATGAGTAGTTTCCTCCGCTCCCTTTCTCGTCGTCTTACTGTTAAGGCATCCTCTTCCTCCTCATCTCCTTCAAAAAATCTGCTCACTGAGCAAAATCAAACCATGGAGGAAATCCCTCCTAAAAACAATATCTTCGAAGAAGAGGTCTGCTTTGAAGATATCAACCAAGCAATTGATAATTGGGAAATCCCCAAAATACCTCAGGATGAGTTATATATTCCTGATGAAAAACATGTGCGCAGTTCTGATTACATTATCAAGACTGCTGAAAACAATATACCATTAGACCCCCAAGCTGGTGAGGAGTTCCATCTTCTTACCAAACAATCTATTACAGAACATTCTAGGAAGTACAAGTACCTCCATATAGGATGTGTCCAAGTTGCTGTTAAGCCCCTAATCAGGGAAGGTCTTAATGCTTCAATTCTTATGTGTCTTAGAGATACAAGGCACAATGATTTCCATGACTCCCTTATAGGAACCGTCGAAACAAGTTTAGGACATGGTCCTGTTTATTTCAATTGTTTTCCAAATAAAACTGTGAGTCTTTTAGATAGAAATGTCTTAGACTCATTGTTTTTAAACATTAGACTGCATGGGTTAAACATGAAAGAAGGTTCTATCCCTGCAGCCCTCCTTTATAGGATCCAATACAAAGTCATGAACACTTGTAATTCAAGGGTTCTTCTTAAAACAAACGATAGGGAAACCACCTTGTTTGTCACAGACATGACAAAGGCCAATGTTGCTGTTCCCAAACTCATAAAATGGGATGAAGTAGAACTTCCTACAGCTTGGAAACTTGAAAGAGCCACACCAACCCTACCCAGAAAAGCCCCTGAATTCCAAGAAATTAGGCAGTCTGAGGCTGGTAAGGTAGAGATTATTTTTGATAGGAGAAATTCTTTCTCCTCAAGAACCGAAGCTACTAGATCAGAATATAAGACTCTTAATGTCTTTAGGAGTCAAATTTTCATCCACATCCTTGGTTTTGAATGGTGCAGCAAGTACAGGGTTATTTTTGTCATCCCTAATTTAAGGGAGTTGATATTGGGTTTTGGGAGGAAGTTCAGATTGGACCTTCTCTCTGTCTTTGAGATGCCAAACAACATTTGTGGAATACTGTCCTATAAGGTCATCTCTAAAAGGATAATCTATATTTTTCTTAATGATATAAGCATGAAACCAATCAAGAAATGGTATATTAAGTTTGACATGGTCCAAGAAATTATAATAAATCTCCTGAATCTGTATTCTTTTTGGACCTTGGTAATTTTTTATATATATATATATTAAAAATCATAAAAGTGATAGACCTTTTCTGTGTATACATTTTTTGATCATTTTTTTTTCTATAATCACTTATAACCTATTCATAAATTCCATTTTTTAAACTTCTCTCACTTCATAAGTAATTATCCCTATATTTTTAATAATCATCAATTATCATATATATATACATATATTTTTTATTATTATTTATTAGTAGGGAAACAACACTTGATGCTTCTTAATTTTTTTTAAAAATTAAAATAAAAAATAAATAATGAAGTGGGTAGTTATTGATAGATTATGGGAAAGTAGATATTTTTTTGAAAGAGGGTGAGAAAATTTAGTCTGTGAGAAAAAAAAACTTTTGATTTTCTTATTTTTCCTCGGAAATTAAAGGATATAAGGATCCAATTGAAAGTAAAAACCAAAATTGATTATAAAAAAAGTATCTTCTGTATACATTATTTATAAAACCAATTCACGGAGACACATATTTTTGTACGTTATATATAAAAGCAATACACGACAATTAAGCTATTAGCTAGGGAGCGTATCTTTATGAGATGATGAATACGTGAGGAAAATGTACATCTCATCTCATATCTCAAATTCAAACATCGCATTTGTCTTGTTCTTGAAAAAAAGTGAGACAACATTCTCTCTCATGAATTAAGAATATATAACATAATCTTCTAAATTATCATGCTAATATTTCCACTTGTTTGGCGTTGACTTACCTCGTATGCTCCTCTATAAATACCATATTTTCCATGGCATATTTCTCACACATATATCACATATCTACTACCTAGGGAACTAATATAACATCTCAGTGGTTCTGTGATAATATGGCTCCTACACTTCAACGTGTATTCTCTCATTTACTCACTCTTGTAGCAACACTTTCAATACTCCTCGTGGTCCCTTCCTCTTGTTTCAAGACCAAAAAGATCGTTAATGCTTCATTTGATTCATATTCCTCAGTTGGAACAAATTGGTCACCTGCTGTGGCCACTTGGTATGGAGCCCCCAATGGTGATGGAAGTGAAGGTATATCAGAAAAATTTAGTCACATGAAATTTTATTCTTCGCACAAACTAAGAAAATAAATCACGAATTATGCTTGAAAATTAAAATTTCAGTAATTTTATGTTTGTTAATTAATTATATTGTAGGTGGTGCTTGTGGTTATGGCAGTGTTGTTGGGGTACCTCCATTCTCATCATTGATATCTGCGGGAGGCTCTCTTTTGTATGAATCAGGCAAAGGCTGTGGTTCTTGTTATGAGGTGCTAATTAATTGACCATCAACATATGTAACTAAATATTTGGACAAAATTTAGTTACAATTAATTATTTAGGTTTAATTGATATTATTTTTCATTTATTGTTGGAGTTTTATATCAGAATTATATAAGTGCATTTAATGCAAATTTCATTAGTATACATTTATGTATACTGTTGAGGTAAAATTCCAATTATGATTAAAGAACACCAATTACATTTGAGGAACTCTATCTAAGTTTTGTCTCAAATATATATGTTTATGATTTCTAATTATATATTGATAAAAATGTTACAATAATGTACTTATAAGACACTTTTGTAGGGTTGAGTTAGATTAATAACTTACATTCTAACATGATATAATAATTATTTACATCCACTTTAAGAGAGTCACTCACCATTGATACACGGATCAAGCTTAATAATATTAGCCATGAGTAGATATATTGAAAAAAAATTAAAATTTTATCTATCTTAAATCATTAAAAAAAAGTTATTATCATTTATTTACGTATTAAATTTAATAGTAATATTAGATGTGAGGAAGTATATATATTAAGAAAAATTCAAATTTTATATTTATTAAAAATAAGACAATTAAAAAATATACAAGTTAGAATCAATCCTTATCTTATAAATTATTTTGTAATTGAACTAATTTTTTAACCCACAATTTAAGAGTACTCTCGAACAAGAATTGCTACATGATTTATGATTACCATGTTTTATGGTCATATTAAAATAAAAAAATTTAATTTACAAAAACTAATAAAACTCAATTATATGTGTCATGTAGACAACTTCTGGGGCAATATATTATTTTCATAATGTAATTAACACATTATTTAAATATAATCTTTTTTATTGATTAAAATTGATTAAAAATCACACATCTTTTAAATTCCGTTTCTTATTTAACAAGTGTCACTTGTAACTTTTAACAAATAATATGTTAGAAGAAATATTCTAAAATGTTTGGGGGCAGTACTCCTCTTATGTCTAGGTATATACTGCATGCATTCAAGTGAAAAAAGAAAATGAAGATATATTAATTAATTTCCAATTTGTAACAATTTCAGGTGAAGTGCACAGGGAATTATGGATGCTCAGGCAACCCTGTAAGTGTAGTGATAACTGATGAGTGTCCTGGATGTGATGGTCAATATCATTTTGATTTGAGTGGCACTGCTTTTGGTGCCATGGCAGTTTCAGGCCAAGCAGAGAAGCTACGTGGGGCTGGGAAAATAACCATTCAATTCAGAAGGTGAATTCTAAAATTTTACTCAACTAAGCACTAACAATGCTTCTTTAACCGAAAATATCACAATTATAATTGACAAGTAAATTGTAGCATTTTACATCTTACAATGGTTCATATTATTATTCTTATAATTTAAATTTTATATTTTATTTTTATTTGTTTTCATTTATTGCTACCGTCATGCTTTTGTCTCATGTATTTAAAATAGTTTAAAACTTTAAATGCGGTTTTAATTCCCAAAAATATCACGAATTTTATATTTTTATATAAAAAAAAATATTTTCAATCCTTGCATTTACAAAATTGATGTCATAAAAGACTAATTTTTTTTTTGACTATTCTTAAGTGGGGAGTGTATTATTTTAGAGAATAATGTGCACTTGCAATTATTAATTACAAAATCAACTTAAATTCTTACATAATAAAATTTAAAATTAATTATAATATTAACTGTTAATTTTTTCTCTTAAGTTAGAGGAGTTACTAAAATATGTAATTGTTAAAAACTTCAAATAAATAAAATGTTTACATATAGTAAAACAAAAATATGATACTTTCAAACACAAAAAAATATGTATCTTTATATGATGTGTATATTTTATCATTCCATTCTTGCGTTGTGTCGGTGTTGTTTAGCTCCTAGTTAATTAATCCTCTTGTACGTGCTCAAGTAAATTAAATTTATTATATATTTCTTCTTGACTTTCCGTTATTAATCTATTTGATTTTGACATTCATTTAATCATTTTATTAACAATAATAAACAATGGGAGATGGGTTTAATTATTTAATTTTTGCAGAGTTGAATGCAACTTTCCCGGTGTGAAAATAGCTTTTCGAGTGGACCCTGGATCCAACCAACAATATTTTGCAATGGTGGTTGAATACGAGGATGGGGATGGTGAGATTGACAAAGTTGAACTGAGTGAAGCATCTTCAGCTTCATGGTACTCCATGCAAAGATCATGGGGTGCTGTTTGGAAACTCAACAATGGTTCACCACTTAAAGCACCATTTTCCATTAGGTTAACCACTTTTTCATCTGGCCAAAGTGTTGTGGCAAACAATGTCATCCCTGTGGGGTGGACCCCTGGTCAGACTTATAGATCAGTTGTGAATTTTAAATAACTTATAAATCTATATATATGTTGTCCCTTTCTTTGTATCATCACCTTGTAACGATCTTATTATATCAATAATATAACCTTAGTTTTTCTATTTGTCTTCTCTATTCATTTACAAGTTAAATAATATTATTTTGTTTTAATTATTATGGTTCGACTCGTGCTTTTTCTATCCAAGGTGGGGGAAGGAATCTTATACCCCAAGAAATATGTAATCATATATGAATGAATGATTTTTTATTTTTTTTACTTGAGGCGATATTAGAGGTATTGAATTAAAGACTGATCTTACTTACAATAATTTGACTGATGTTGACTTAAAAGATTTTTACACACAATAAAAATTTAATACAAGATTATCTGTTAAATAAAATATTTTTATAATATATAAATAGAGTATTTAATCATCAGTTCAACTCATTATGTCGAAGAATTGAAATTAAGGAGGGTATATTGGTTTAGGATTTCGTAGGATTTTAAAAGATTTTTTTTGAGTAAAAAAGTCCATTGTATTCAATCAGGATTTTATGTCACTTAAAAACAATCCAGTGGTATTGAATCTGGATTTTCAAGATTTTTTAAAGAGTCCATTAAAATCCACTGGTATTCATTTGAGATTTTTTACAACTTAAAAACAATCCATTGGTATTCAAAAATATAAGGATTTTAAAGGATTGTTGTGTGAGAGGGATTTTGAAGGACTTTTTAGTGTTATTTATAAATACCAGATTCATAAAATAATCCCATCCAAACCCATCGGATTTTGAAGGATTGTTTGAAGTGATTTTTCAAGTGTTTCAAGAATTTTCAAGTGAGTTTTTCATCTTTTTTTTTCAATTCTCCTGTCTTCTCCATTTTTTCGCTACTAATAATACTACACTATTATTCATTGCTCATATATAATATTGTAGTACTGTTCTTATCTCATTCCCTTATTTTGTGAAACTCTAATATATATGTAAATAATAGTGTCATTGACTTGCTCTACTTTTATGTTCGTTCTTTTTAATTGACTTGCTTTATTTTATTCTATGTAGTTGAATTTGTTCCTTTATATAACACAAAAAAATGCTTGAAATTTCAACTTTTAAGTGGTAATTTTTTTTATAACACACGTCAAGAAAAGAAAAAGGTGAAAGATAAAATTGATATCATAATCTCTACAATATATATATATATATATATAAGATGAATTTGTTAGGGTTTCTATGAGTAGAATGAGATGAAAATGGATCTTAGTTGGGGGAAGAACACTCTCAGCATAAAAACTGCGAACTCTCTCATTCCCTTGAATTTGTTACTCTTATCCCTCCTTTTATGACTCAACAATTATTTTATTTTTTTTACTATGAATTTTTCTTTTTATTTTTATATTGTGAAATTAAGATTTTTTTATATTTTAAAAAAAGAAAATTAACATAAGACATTGCAGTATCTAATTTTTTAGGGTTTAGGATTTATGTCTTCATTAGCTTATTTTTTAAAAAATAAAATATTGTTAAAATATTTGTTAGAATAATTTACATTTATAAATATCGTTAAAAATTATCATATAATATATAACTAAAATAATATATATATATATATATTCTCTATATCTAAATAATTCCGTTTATATAAAAAAAATCATATATCTAAATATTTTCTCAGTATCGAATATACTGATTATTATTTATATAACTAGTTTTCAACATATATTGTTTTAGTAATTCAAATTGGAGATTCGCAAGGAAATAATAAAGAAAAAAGAAAAAAGAAAGAAAACTATGAAACTTGAACCAAGGAGGATTCCAATGAATTGTTACAATTGATAGTGGATGCTATAAAAAGAAGATAGGATATTATGGAGAATTATTATTATTATTTATCTAGACATTATTGTTTTTTTTATTATTTTTATCTTTGACTCTTTTTAAATTTGAATGTATGATTTTTTTTTAAATCTTATCAAATGTCAAAATTCCACAAAATTCCACAAAATTCATTAAAATCCTGATTTAAAAGTCTTGCAGAATCCATTAAAATCCTGATTTTAAGTTTTGTAGAATCCTGCAAAATCTTAAAAGTCATGAAAATCCTGCAAAGTCTTTTAAAATCCGCTGGATTTTTTTTAACTAAAAAAGTCTTTTAAAATCCTAATCCAATACACCCCCTAAATATCCCCTACGTTATAAGTAACAATAAGTATCATATAAAAGTCTCACAATATGTAGGGGATTAATTTTAAAACAAAAAAAAATTAAGTGTTAATATATGGAATAAACTATATTAGTTGGGGAATATTTTATTTATTTATTTATTTATTATATACATTTATAATCTTTGATGGGAATTAGTCATGGTAGAAACTTTCTCTTATTATCTTTTTTAAAATTTTATTTTTAACATATGTATTAACTAGTTTAAGTTTATAGAGAAGTTTATATTAATTTTTTTTCCTATTTTTCCTTCTAAAAGTATTTATGAAAAAATTTATTCAAATAACTAGACCCTACACTACACCAAAATTATTTTTTTGTGGCAATTAATTTATTATTTAGTGGCTATATAAATGACCATTATTTTTTTACCAGCATTTAAATAATGGCTGGTGTATCCAGTGTCGCTAATACTATTAGCGGCATTTATATAAAATGCCGGTAAAGATCTACAAAATTATTGAAAAAAACTTATTTTTTTTGTGGCAATTCTAGTAGCCATTTTAAAGGCTATTAAAAGTTATTTTTTTCAATTGTCTCTTTTACTTTAAATAATTTATTCCTATAATTTCATTTTCTAAATTCATAACTTATATATGTAACGTTTAGTCGTATCTCGATAATATACGTATATATATATATATAAATAATATTTCTAGCTAGAAAACACATTTATATATCATATCGTACCATAAATATTTACCACTACGTGCGTAGTTGCTTACTTTTACATATATATTACATATTTTTGGAAATATTTACAATACGTGCCTATTTACATAATATAGTTTCTTTTTCTATTTCTAATATAATATTTACATGGGTGGTTGAAACAAGTTTACAATTGGGTTCACATGGTTAGCGGGCGGTAAAAAGAAAGTGACTCACTACAAGAAAAATGCTGATTTTCGACGGAAATTTTCGACGGAAATAGATAAATTTCCGACGGATTTTGCTTTTTCCGACGGATTTCCGACGGATTTCAATCCGTCGGAAAAAGTGGCGTCGGAAAAAAAACCCGTCGATTTTTTTCATAAATTAATTACAAAAAGGAATCGTTATGAACTAGCTTTAGAACTTGAAGACAACATCGTCAAATTAGTCTTACGGCCACTCACGGGTCTTACTGCTACAGTTGTTTCGAAATCTTAAAGCATAGGCTCATAGTTTTCCAGAAAATTTACTGTACAACTAAAAAGATCAATCTTAAAATGTAAATGAACGAGGTATACCAGATGCATAGTAATAGATATTAACTTAATATTAATAAATATTATCCTATTTCCCCATCAGGCTCTAATACTAGATATCCCGAAGTGGATCTAGGAGGGTAAAGGGGAAAGAGGAAATATGCAACAATGAACCAGATTTGCACAATACTAGGTATCAAGGGCACACCTGACGAATCAGGCTTACAAATCCCAGGTTTTCACAAACTTTTTAAATGATGCGAGGAAGTAAAGGAAGCAAATGAAGAAAGAAAGATTTTATAAACAAAAAAGCTTACAAAGAAATATCTCAGAGCTTCTCTATCTGAACTCTCTCTCTAAGAAGTGCTAAAATGAAAGGGTACCTCACAACATGGACGAGGCCTCCTTTTAAAGACTAAAAATTTACTTTTTCAACACTACAAGTTACTTGACTTGAACTATTCACTACAGTGCCGGTATCTTGACTGGAACTGTTCATTCAGACCATGATTTGCTACAGTGCCGGTATCTTGACTGGAACTGTTGATCACTTTAGACCGGGTAGATATCTACATACACTGCCGGGTTAAAATGATATCGGTAAATAGCCACGATGATATGCGGTGCAGGGTATTCACAATATGTAATGTGAATATGTCCACCATTAAATAAATATATCATGATTAATACTTTAAACAGATTGAAGATTGTCAGATTCTGCTAGGTTTATACCAAAGCAGTCATCTTCATTTTGATAGAATTCATCTAGAGAAGCTGTAGACTCTGATGAACTCGGTAAAGAGGATTTTGAAGTTTCGCCTTCATTCTTGAGTAAAGCTAAAATTTCTTCAAGGTTTTTGGCAAAACTTTCTTTTGTTTTTGCAGCAACCAGTGACGCTGTAATTTTTGCTTTCTGATTGAGGAGCAATGATGTTTCTAGGTCAGCTGGTTTTAGCAACTTTGTATTGGAAGCAAACCAATTTTTAACTTCTTATGGGTTTGCTTTACTTGCATCAAATGTAGTCCACCATTTGACATAAGAGTTTCTTTGTAGTGGAGGAGGTTGCAATGGATGTTGTGCTTTTCCAAACTTGTACTGCCATGAATGTATCCATGATAGTGAGAAGCTTGAAAAGAATTGAAGATCTGCTGGGATCCATGTATTTTGATTGTCATACATGGATTTGAAGATCTTAAATCCTTCGTCTGCTGGGGTTGGAAGGATTTCTTCAATTGGACCAAAGAAGTCCCACCATTGGAGAAACCAACTGGGGAACTTATATTGGACATTTCGTTTGAAATATATCAGCCACGAATGGCGGTTGGTCTTATTTTGATACCAGAATGTTTTATTCCAGGCATCAATATAATCCCAGTAATTATACCCAATAGGGTCAAAAAGCATTGAAAATTTCTGAGTAGTACTCGGGTTTTGGCCAAACTGGCTTGGGGTTAAAACCTTTAAAATTTGGAAGGTTGTATGAGTCACATTAAAAGGATCTTTGGGATCCTTATAATGCTTGATTGCTACAGAATCTGTATCAACCAGGATAAACTCATAAAACTTTCGTGTTTTGTTAAGGGCTAGAGGTTTAAAATGAAAGCCCTCAGGAAAAATCTTTTGTGGAATTTTATTTGGGTTTTTATCCCAAAATTCAGATTCCATTTGAGTAATGACCCAAAATTTATTCTTGGGAATGTAA